AAATACCAGGCATACAATTAATGGGGGAGGAGGGGGGTTGGCAGATTCCATAATTTTCAGTAGGCTGGGCTCCCGCAGCTCCCGGCGGAAGCCTCATAGCTCAGTTGGCTAGAGCATTGGCTAGACTAAATCCTTCCCCTGATAGTGTGGGTTCGAATCCCGCTGAGGCCGCAGGATTTTTCACAATCAGGTGAAATAAATTATTAGAAGTGGCCAAACCTCTTTAGTTAAAATATGCGTATGCCTGGATATTGCCAACGTTTGCCGTTGTTCTTTTAGCCTTCAAAATCCACCCTAAACGTATCCTTCTAACAAATGCATATCTTGTAATGAGACTCTGTGGGTCTTAGTAAATACTGAAGTAGCTGTGGTTAACGTTGCATAGACTGTAAATAACATTTATCAGCTTTTATGTGGTGAGTTTAACGAATAATTAAGTGAGTATATCTAAAGTTAGTATTACAAAATTTTGAAGACTGCTTTCGTCTCAAGTGCGACGTTTGAGGGGAGTATAAGAGATAAAATATGATTGCATTTTCTTTCGAATATCGTACTAAAGGAAAGGGACTAATTAAGTACGTGACCACTTTATCCAACACGGTTGGCATAAAAAACTGAAAGATGTGCCAGACAGAGTTGTCATTAAATGAATAAGTTTGGGCTATGTCACATGGTAACTATAAAACCAATCTTCATCTTCAGCGATTTTAGCCATAACAGCATTAAAGAAGTCAAGTTAGGAGAACGAATATTTTAGCTTATTAATAATCAGGCAAATACAATAATAAAATAATTTATCCCGGAACGCCTCACCCTTACCACTTATTGGTTGCTTTAATTTTTGTTCACTATATCCTCCCTTATATTATTGTAACTACCCGATTATTGATAATCGAAATGTTCGTTCGCCTAACCGAACTTCCAATCTTTATCTATTTGGAGACATACTTTTCGATTTCCGTCAGTGTCGCATGAGTTTTGGTCCCAAGTGCAGGTGTTGATAGCTATCGATACATGTCAATCCTCAACCATTTCCCCTTACTACAGGCAATTACAAGACGATCTTATACTAACTTTCCTTAATATGTATGGTCTGTATTGTGGCTTTGTCCCCGGACGATTTTTTACCCAGGCAAACGATATCCCGGCAAAGCAAGGAACTATGGACGTTCATTTTTCTTCAGTGATTGCAGCGTGTAGCGCGTTTTCTGAAGAAGTTGTCCTTCTCACCTTTATGAATACACTTAAGAGCAAACTAGACGTGCATCAGCCACCTCATTTACCAGCCACTCGCTAATCCATGAGACAGACTATCACACATACTTATTATGCTACTCGCGCTGGGTGAGTAGCCATGTTTTATTACTATTTCAACGAATCAACAGGTGCTCGCTTTCCCCTGCTGGTACCTAATTGACATTTTTTCTTTTTGTATCCATACATTTCCTAGCCATCTTGTTACTAATAAGGGCTCAAATGCGTTCGCCCAGCTTCCTCTTAATAAACTGATACTGAATGATACATGCAAAAGAAGAATTTGATTATATATATCAACAAAACTGGAAAAAGTGTTGGCCACACACCATCCACACTTCCATCGCCAACTTCTCTGAACCTCAGCGCGCATATCTTGCCACCACCCTGTGAGACGCCGTCGACAAATATTTGGCGCAGCCGCGAGACAGATGTTACACTCGTTTGCCAGAGTATCAGACAACCGTCGGCAGAAGCTGAGGCGAGGATATCATCCTGGCGGGCGGAAAAAAAAGGAGTTCGTGTGAGAACTCGTAGAGAAAGGAT